CCCCCCCGGATGTACTGTACTTTACTTCTTCTTTGTTTTTTCTTCACAAATGATGTAAAAATTGCGCCGTGTGTTTGAATTCAGTCTCCCAAAGTCATACTTTATACTTTATATCTTTTTACAACAGTCCTGTGTCTCTACTGGCCTTACAGACATACAGACTCAGACCAGGATGGTAAGCATATCCGACCATCAGTTTATAAGTCGGACCATGTTCGACTTATAAACCCCACAGCATGATTCTGCCAGCACCATGTTTCACTGAGGAGGATTATATTTTGTATATTTTCTGTACTTGCGTTGGTTTTCCTCCACAAGTGCAGTTTTTCTTGTCAGCTGAAAAGTTTACATTTGTTCTCACCTGCCCAGAGTATCTTGTTTTACATGCTCCCTGTGTCGTTTTCTCCCTGCTGCTCTTCCGTAGAGACGCGTGTGTTGCGGTTCGTTTGGCCTGTCAGCAGATTATTTTGGTTGTGGTCGATTTCTGCAGCTCGTCCAGAGTAATCAAACTTTTCAGTCTAAATGGGCAGCTGTGTTAGTTGTTCCATAATCTTCCTTAATTTTAATGTTTTTTTTTAAATATTATTACATATATAATTTTCCTACATGCACCATTTTGCGTTAGTCTGTCTCTTAAAATTGCTTACAATGTGACAAAACAGGAGAAAGTTTTGGGAGTATGAATATTTGTCATACTGTGTACTCTCTGTGTGTGGATGTGTACCTCAGATCAAACCACCAGAGCACCTGTAGATGTCTCTGCTCCTCCCTGCTGCTTGTTGCTTGTGTTGATTTGTGCATCAGGTTGGTGATTTTAATATTGATAAACCTGATGCTGCAAATTGCCCAGAGCTCAGCTGCGAACTTGCGTTGATGTCGAGCCGCTTTCCGCGCAACCAGAGGCGGCAACTTGGAATTAATCAGACTATGACAAGCAGCCCATAATAAGACGTTTAAAACGGGGTGAGGAGGTGGGGAGGGAGTGTGGGGGGGTGACTGGTATCCAAGTACAGGGTATCCATAGAGACAGTTGCTATGGCGGAAAGAAATCTCACCTCATTAGGAACAAATATAAATAGCCTCACATCTTGGCTTTATGGTCATGATGCCCTCGAGAGCAGGCTCAGAGGCTTCCGGGTCAGCAGAGCAAGTGCTGAAAGATGGAGAGATCGGTATGGGGGGGATGACCAAAAAGATTCAGAGGGAGAGATGAAATCTGGATTTGTACCGACAGATTGATGAAGGGATGCAGCCAGAAAGTTTGTCACTTCTGTCAGGAGGAGGGGAGGGAAGAGAGAGAGAAAAAAAAATCTCCCAAATGTCAGCAGGTTTGTTTTTTTATTCATGTTACAGCGCCGAGACAAACTCTTCAACACCATTTCAGTGGATCCGGATTAGCATTCAGCGTGTTTTTACGATAATTAACACCACCCAAGAAGCAGCGTCACAGAGCAGATGTGCAACAAAAACAACAGCAACAACAACAACCAAAAAACAAAACAAAAAAAAAACTAAAATAACACGAGGAGATGGTGTAAACGACCCCTTGAGGTATAGCGCTGATATCTGTATCTGGTACGACTGGCTGCTTTTGCAGAAATGTTTGCTTTTCCCAGCAACATTCATAATGAGGAGGGAGGAGGAGGTGGAGGAGGAGGAGAACAGAGCAGGAGCTGTGGGAGGAAAGATGGGAGAGGTTGACAGCCGAGCGGAGAGGAGACAGATGGGAGCGGAGTGAGAACTCAAGAAATCCAGTGCTGATTGCATCAACAGGTCTAAACCCCTACAGGTATGCTGCAGTGCGCCTTCACTATTACTACAGTATTGACTCATCTGGTATTTGCTGTCCGGAGGTCATCCGTCTCACTTCCTCCATCGCTCTGTTTGGACGCTCTTCCTTCCTCGGTGGTGGCATCATTGGGTTTAGAGTGTTTCTCTGGTACTTAGTCATCAAAGCCCTGCATGCGCGTCTCCGCTTTCAGAGAAATCCACAACACTCTGGCAGAGGCATTCATGCCCCTGAATATTTCTCACATTTTTGGTCATAAGCATCAGTGTATTTTAACTGGATTTAATGCGATAGACCAACATAATGTAGTTGCAGAGTGGACAAAAAAGGGATGATTTTAAAAAAAATTTGCAACTACACATCTGAAAAGCATCACATGGATGTGTATTCAGCTCTCTTCACTCTTATTTCCCTAAATAAATTCTAGTGCAACCATATGCTTTAAAAGGGCTGTATTATGTTTTCCAGGCACAAAGTGCCATTTTAGAGCATAATCATAGTCACTATGTTACCTTCAGTTGTAATAAAAATGCTTTACATAACATAATGTAATAAATAAATCAAGTCAAGTTGACTTGCATAAAATCAACAAGTGAAATGTCACATTTTTCCAAATGCCGTCGTTACACATCAAAATGTTGGTTAGCATCTCATTCATAATCGTACTTAAAGAATCAATATTGTATAAAATTCACTCTTTTGAGCGTTACATCATGTTTTAATGTTATTCCCTCATCAAAAACATACCTGGAGTGTTGCCTCGATGTTTTTTCATGCATGTTTTAGAAATCCTGTAATCTCCATGGCAACCGTTCAGCTGCGCGAAACGGCTGGGTGGACCGAGCGCCGCCTTCAAGGCACAGAGCTACTTGGAAAACTGCAGCTGCTCCCCAACTCAACTCCTTCTGACTAGCCAGCAGCAATTAGCAAACACCTGGTAGGACTGCGCTGCCCAATATACAAGCTACTTTTCTGGGTGACGCTGGTAAAACGTTGCTCAAGGTTTAATAGAGGAGCGACGTTGTGATGACCTCCTGAATGCAGAGTTTCAGAAAGATCAGGAGTCTTTAAAGAGACAGAGCCCAATTTTAAGACGTCTGTTAAGTACGTATTGGATACATACATTTTCATAACAACCAAAGGTGACACCGTTACTTAATTTTGCAATAAAATGGCACTATGTGCCTGGAAAACTCATAATGCTTCCACTTCAAAAGAAATTTGACTTTTCAATTCAACAACTTGAAATTGGGCCTCTGTCTATATCTGTCTCTTTAAGAAGGTCCTGTTCTTTCCAGCACTCCGCCTTCAGCGCATCATCACAATGTCTCTCCACTACGCCGCTTATGACCGTTCTTAGGAGTGACGCACCGAGAAGTAGTTTGTAGGATAAGGTCTCAACCATTTCCAAGTAATATATTGATAATAGCAGAACAATGCAAATTCACCCTCTCAAAAACCAATAAACTTTAACTTGGTAAAGAACACTTAACACTGGAGGTGGAGTAAACAGTGAGGTCATTAGCAGGACTCTGGAGAAGTTGACTGCATACTCACCTGAATCAGCCATTTGATTCAGGTGTGTAAAAGTCACAGTGTCTCGAGGCCTGGAATCGATCACCGCTGGTCTATCACATAATATCTCCACAAAACACACTCAAGTGTGTGTGAAAAAATGGGAGGATATGAATAATTTTGCTTCATATCAGTCTTGACAACACAATTCGGACTGAATTTATTTTTTCAGTTTTCCAAACAAGTAGGTGTAATTAATGCAGAGCGACTTTCCGTCGCCCTCTTCTTTAACACAGCAACACCAATTTAAATGTGATATTTAAACCCGTAATTATTTAGAAATGCCCTTGCTTCAGGTACCACCGTGGCGATTTGGCAAATTTCAGGGAAACCGGTCAATTAAAACATAGAAAGCAGGGAGAGTCCCTCTCCTCAATGCAAATAAACCTTAAAAGCTCGCCGTGGCTTCCTGTTCTTCAAAGCTAAATGGTTTTCTCTCGCCTTTGTTGTGAACAGTGTGTTTTCAGCTCTGGAACAAAGGTGTCTGAGACTGAAAGATGAAAACTGCGACAGCTGATGAAGACGGTGTAGAGTTCAGACGTGCGTTTGTGTGGGCTGTCTAATTGAAGAGATTGTTTGATTCCCCTCCCTCGCCGCTTCTCTCTGAAGGCCTGTCAAACTCATAATCAGCCAAAACAACATGCAGAGATGGATTTGGAGGAGCAGGAGGGGGAAAAAAATAGTGGAACTGGGAAGACAGTGTGTTTAGGATGTGAGAGAGAAGGAGGGAGGGAGGCAGGGAGAGAGCGTTCGCCCACCGCCTGAAGAGATGAGAAGACAGGCAGAGGAGGGAGAACGTGTGGAGGAAGCAGTGTGCGAGCGCCAGAGCTCATCAGCCTGTCAAACATCCGTTATAGACCACAAACCCACACAGCCATCGTGCTGCTGCTGCTGAGGTCTATCACTTAACAGGTGCACCTCCCTCACCCTCACACACGGCCTCTTACACTCTCCCCAGAAAGTGTCTATACGAGCCTGTCGGTGCCCACGTCTCCCCAAGTTTCGGTCCTGTCCTCGGGGCACAGGACCTCTTGGATCATTCTCCTGTACCCGAAGTGGATCCACGGTGACTCACCGCCATTGATCAGAAAATAAGACCAGTCCTCGTGCTTCCTCTCTCTCGCACCCCTCCTGACAGTGTTTTTAGCTCTCCACCAGCACAATCCGAGTGCGCGTTTTCAGCCCAGCCCACGTTTTGAACCCATATTATTCCTCACCGTGCTCATAGTTTTGTAATTCGACCTGCTGACGCACTGCGTCTAGATTCATCGCCCACTTGCCCCCAGGTGTTAAAGCGGATTTGGTGTTGGTTTCACTTACACCTCCCGTAAAAGGTGCGACTCGGGGTTCGACGCGTACGAAACCTCCTGAAAAGAGGCCGACGGTCGTCCTTCTTGAAAACCCCTTCATCCTGCGATTAAAAAAAAAAAGTTATTAATAATTCATGTGTCTTCACATTTAAATCGTCACTCAGATCTGTGTTTATGAAGCAGAACATCAGTGACATATGCCTTCAGCCCGCCAATGAAAACAGTGGCTGCTAATGTGAACCCTGTTGTGATGCAGAAAAGGTTCTCAATGTAGGAAACGTGCTATTTTAAGAGTGAACCTTTTTCTGGGGATCTTTCTTGACTTTTCTACAATTTGCATGAGTTGATTTATTTTGAAAAATATGCACTTCGGTCATGCAGATGTTTAGGAACCTCTGATCGAGATTGCTGCCTCTGTGAACGACGAAGAGTAAAAATAATTCAAGAGGAAAAAATGTTTTCCTCATGCAGACTGTCAGTTATTGAGGATTTAAAGTGAACATGGAGAAAGTAGCATATAATTGACTCAATTCATGATTAGCTTTT